CCGCCGGGGTCATACGTAATTCGCATAACGGCTCCCCCCTTTCAAAATCCTGGCTACGTCCCTGTCCATAACATCTTGGCATGTCATTAGTCACTACTTTTCTAAACCGGGCTTTAATCGTTGCGAGGGGTCTTGCATTGACTTCGGGCATAGAGAAAATAGAGTTCTATATTTTCTCTATGCTTCTGGTAACAAAATGACCAATCAGCATTCAATTACGTACGCTGTGTGCGAGAGTACACCTGACTGTTTCATTGCTGCTTTATTCTGTGTACAACTGTGATAAAATACATAAATTATTTGTCATGTACAAGGATGATAAATTGTGTTTCAATATATATATATATACATATATATATATATATATATTATTTTTAATAATTATTTGTCGTTCATATGTTATTATTTTTCTCATACTCAATTTCCACTTTGATGTGTATTGCAGTCAGTTTGGAACAGATACTTGAGACAATTTAACACACATTTTAACAGCCTGTTCAATGCACAATTATATTTATTATAAAACTATTGGCCTTTATATGGCAAAATATTTGTAAAATTAATTACAAGATTAGTAAATCATATATAAATGTATGTAATTATGTTAGGTAAAATATGGAAGTATAAAAACTGTATATTGAAGAACCTGCCTTAATAGTGCGAAGCATTGGCGCATATGTACGGTAATACATTGTAGTAAAGCACTGCTATCACTTACTATTCGTTTATATTATATATTTCATGTTATATTACTGTATATTATAAAATTATCTAGCTTTTTAAATACAAGGAAAGCAAAATCTCCGAAAAATTGGATTATGAATTGTCAAATCTGAGAATTCGACTAAGAAAAATAATATATCTCATATAATATATATATAATATGCGTAGAAGTATACAAATTATATATTGAAGAAACTGCCTTAATAGTGCGAAGCAGCTGCGCATATGTAATACATTGCAGCAGAGCACTGCTATTACTGAACTATTCTCATTTATATTATATATTCGATACTATATTCTGTATATTATATAAATTATCTAGCTTTTGAAATAAGTAAAAGCAAAATCTTCGAAAAAATCTAATTATGATTTGTCAAATGTGAGAATTCGACTAAGGCATTTAAAATAATAATATATGGCATTTAATATAACTATAATTAACATCTTAAAAAATATCTTCAGCAGCTGGAATTAACGATCCATCTTTCTTGATCAACTTAACTGTTCGTTTAACCATGACGGTGTTGAACTTGACTGAAATAAGAAATAAATATGTATGTTGAATGTGATATTATTGTCCTACAAAAAGTCGGAAACAAAGTTTAGAACGAACTTTGCTCCAAATAATGTGAGGAAGGCCATGAATCATGGTATCTCACTCATTACTCAGAGTAACGTTCATTCTATGTTTATTTAACATAATCACGCATAGCTCTTGACTTCATACGCAAATTAAAACAATTATTTACTTGAAAACTCAACACCTCATCACCGGTTGCAACGAATGGTCTTGTAAATTCAGAGTTTTCAGACGGCGGTTCCGGTTGATAGGCTGCCAATGACCTCATGTGCTTCTGGTTTGCAAAAAAGATTTTTTTTTTTTATTACGAAACAAATATGCTAAAGTTTGTCCAATTTTCAAAGGGCCCACTCTTTTGTAAATAATCCCTAACTTTATTACTCACATTAATATACACTGTGTTTCGTATAACCCTGGAAAGATGATCAATTCTTGAGTCATTGTCACTAGTCAAAGATATGATTGAATCTGAATCATAGAAACTCGAAGAGAGTCTCGGTAGGTTTGCGGCTTGATTGCGTACGACGACCCCTTTGACCAGTTTCTTACGATTAGCCCTCCGCCTCTTTGCAATGACAAGAACACAGAGAACAGCCAGAACGAACACAAGTAGTAGAGCAATAGCGACGGAAGATGCCACTATTATAAATATCTCAGCAATGTCATCATCTGTTGCTTCTATATGAAAATTAAAGATGTATATATTCTTAATAATGTCAGTTTTTATATATTCGTTTGTGACACGCATCTATGCGTTAACAACTACATCACAAGGTCTAGATCAGACTTTCGAACATCTAAAAAGGAAAACCCTAAAGCCTGACAATCAATCACCTATAAAGGCCCCCAAATCTGGAACAAAATCCCCAAAAATATTAAGAACATTACCTCCATCCATTTATTTAAAAAAAAATTAATTATGCATTAAAGTTCTTTACAATTCCATGCCATCTCTAGATTAACAGTATCTTATTTTTTTAAATTATATAATGTACAATATCTAACTATTATTGCGTAAATTACAATCTCGATTTTGTTTCTCTTATGGTATATTACTATTGCAACTAAAGCTTTGTAATGTGATGTATGTATATTAATCTGGCAGTTTTTTTTTTATTTAATTGACTTTAATTTTTTTGTACTTAATTATATATTTTTATTCCTTTTTTTTCATTTCTTTTTTCTTGTTTTCTTGTATCGATATTTTATTCTTTTATTTTAATATTCAAAAACCTTTTTTTTAAGGAAAGCATGCTTTAAGGCATTTGTATTTTTTATTTGCCTATTTTGCTTACCCTTTTTTCATTTTCAATGAGACATGCTTTAACTTTATTTTTAAAACTTTACTATTTTCTCACTTGTATGTCGATTCGATTTTAAAATAAAAATACTAAAATGAAATAAAAAATAATTTTTCCTATTAGCTTTTGTTTGATGGTAATAGATATTGTATTATAAAGTCATTTGGTAACTGACCACTTTCAGTCATGTGCGAATAATATGATATAGTATGCGCAGTCCAGAAACATAATATGTAAAACGTTACGATTTAACGATTTTGCTCGTCACATTCCGAAGTGCACCCAAATGAATTTGTGTGGCCATGAAAACTTAAGGTTTTGGAACAGGCTCTCTAATAACATATTTGGTTCGAATTTATGATTTGTGACTTACGGTTTCGATTTTTTACGCCTGGAATAGTCATGGCAAACACAGTTTTGTTACATACCTTTTTCTTCACAAATATCTCCAGCAAAGCCTTCAAGGCAACTGTACGTAAAAAAAAAATATAAGTAATAATTATCAATAATAATAATAATAATAATAATAATAATAAATAATAATAATAATAATTATCAATAATACGTACTGTATAAGTATAAGTAAAATAATAATATTATTATTAGATGGACAAGATTTACCTGCACGATCGCTCGAATAAGTCATCGATTTTACACTCGCCACCATTATAGCAATACTCAGTGCAATTAATAGGAAGATCTTAAATGATAATGCAGACATACACAAATATTTTCTATCAGTGTTGTACAGTTGTTCAATATTACTCTGTGACATTATGTATGTAGACCCTTATAACTTATAGCATTGATGCAGCATTCATCTTCAAAGCTTCAACAATAATATTTTGAAATAATTATTTCAAATAAGTCTACAATCAATTCGAAGAATGGTTACGACATTGCGGGATTTTTTTAAATTGTAAATAAACGTGTTGTAACTCTAAAAATACCATTATCATTCAGTAGCAAGCAGGTTGCAATTAAGCCTAGAGTGGAATAGTTTCGGTATTGTGTCGGTTAAGTTTGGAATAAAGTAGTGGTTTCCACAATTCTGAAAGCTTTTGGCGACGCTGATTGGTCGGTTAAGCATGGTTAAGCATATAATCGCTACACGCCATTGCTGACGGTTGAATCGGGGATCCTTCTCGATTGCGTAGGGGAGAGCTACGCAGTTCGGCGATTGTACCAAAAACACTGTAGCGATTTTAAAGAAACCAGGCTTTACTGATTGCGTCGGAAATAGCTACGCAGTGTAAAGATTGCAATGAAAACACCGTAAAAACACAGGCTCTGGTACGGTATGGGCGTCCGAAGCGACTTTTTTTGAACATCAATAGAATATAAAATATTAGTTTAATTTATTAGTAATAAGCTATAAATATAAATTTATTAATAGCATTTAATGTTATTAAAACTATTCAATTATTATATAAAGCTTTTAATGAACATGTTTCGACGTGTCACATGTCATCCTCAGGTAGGCCTAATAATGCTTTAAATGCTACTACCGGTCAGATGTAAGACAAAACAATTAAATATTGAGGTAAGTATTAAAGGTCATGAATACTATGGAAAGTCATGTATATAAGAATTGGAATGAAATAGTGATATTGTAATGGGTTGTTTGTTCAGTGACAGATTTCCCTAAGCAATGTAAAATGCTTCTTTTATTTTTAAGTTGATAAGTATTGTTGGCAGAGTCAAGAATAGTAAAGCAGTCTGAATTGGATGCGTTTTTGCATTTAACATGAGTTTTGAAGATGTTGGAATGTGTGATGACTTGTCCCAAACTAAGTGCTCCTTTGTGCAATTAATATATTGAACCTCAAATTGATTCTAAACTGTTGGCGTAACTTTATCCACTAATATACCAAAAAAAAAAATAAATAAATAAATATTCTTACCTTCCCCTACATATTCGTAGTTTAGGTCAATTGTAATATTGATTCCGAAATCTGTTGAATATAAGCGATTGTCGCTATCCGCTTCCTCTAAGAGCATCTGTAATAGTTTGTCACCTTTACTGTTTGTCCTAGTGTAGAAATCGAGTTGGTAAACTACAATAATACTGCCCTCCAAAAAGCCAAGTATAGTGCAGGCGTAAAAATCTGCTGCCGTTTCTAATAGAATACCATACACATCTTCTATCTAATAAGATGTTAAAATTAACGATAATGATAACGTTAACGGTACCGGTAATGCAGTGTCAAAAGATGACGTCAAAATAATGATAACCCATTCCTCAAAGAACAGACTAGCATAGTTAATAATTTGAGGCACTATAGAAGTTGTATATTACGAAAACCTCATTTTAAGTTGATGAGTAATACAGACATGTGTAGTGGAGAGTGACCAAAATTGAAAAGTCCATTAGCGGAAAGGGTCATTAGAGTCTACTCTCATACAATATTCTACGTGAGAAGTGTATGCGCAGTTTGCAGGTTTATTACGAGAAATTGCGAATTGAAGTGCCATTTTCACTACCGTAGGTCACGACGATCGAGAATGAGCAACTATTTATATACAATTTTGGGCTATGGTTTAATTAAATGTATTAAGGAAGCATTTGATTTGTATTAATTATGTGACAATTGAATATATATGAGCCTACTTTATTTGACAACAAAACTTTAAGAGATCAGCACTCACAAAAACTGTGACAATTAGCTAGTAACATCACACTTAAAAAACAGCTTAGACCTATGCATCAACATAACAAAAAGGTAAAAGTTCACATTTAAACCTTTTAAATACAAGTCATGAATCAAGCATGAAATACGTAAAAATCATCACCAAATTTGACAATAAATCTGAAAAAATTAAAAAACGATACTAAGGATACCAAAAATTGACGTTCAATTATCTTATTCTAACTGGGTCAGATACTTACTATCGTACACATTTGTTTGGCATAAAGTTTAAACTTGGTTGATGAGCTATCTGCCAACGCTTCATCCCATTCTGCCAATGCCTTCGATTCGTTCACTTCAACAACAAGCATTTTCCCACGAAACGATTTTCCAGCTAAAATGTATACATACCATAGTTTTTTACACTCGAACTCAGCAACGATAGTAATAATATTGTTAAAATTAAGCTATAGTATGTTATATACACTTACATAAATAAATATATATTAGATAGTGACTTTCAAACCAAACCAAACCGTGTTTCTCACATTTTGACAGGAAAAATGATAGTGTAAGCATGATAAGCTACTTCAGAATTTTATTGTGTGACAGGCATACGAGTGAAATAACATCAATAAATGTTGGCTTACTTAAGCATGCATCATCGAGAAAAACAAATCCTAAAATACATTCGCAAGTGAAGCTGCCAACCGTATTCATACATTCTACGTTAGCTCCACACGGATCTTCTAAGCATTCGTCTTTGTCTACAAATTAATTGGAAACAATAAATTTCAATATTCTGACATCAATATTGTGTTTAAATTATAGGCCTACGGCAATCACCGTTTCCAGCGAAACCAGCTGGAGATGGCGTTACTCCGTTACTACCATGGAGAAAATAAAATAGATTAAAATAAATATTAAAATAAATATTTTATTTTCTCCATGGTTACTACAGTATATTATGTTTATTCGATTATTTTTCAATCAGCATTTGGCACCTCACGAGGTACATCCCACTGCATAAAAAACATATCAGTGGCAGCATAAATAATATTATACAGTTTGAAAAGAAGACAAGAAGATACAAAAATAAATAAATGTAAATTGTAAAAACAAATCGTACAAACTTTATAACAAGGTTTCAATAATTTTATAAGGTGGGCTTTATCGACATAACCTTACCAGCGCAGACTCCGCTAGCATCACGTTCAAATCCCGTCCCACACTCACAAGAGAAACCGCCATCTGTGTTAGTACAGTTTTCTAATACTTCGCATAGATTTATCAAGCATTCGTCCACATCTGAAAACATAATTGGTGAATTTATAATAATAGAGATGCATGATTAATTGAAATAATTGTTGGTAAATAATTAAAATGTTCTCACTCAAATTCTTCCTGCTTAGCTTATCGGATTTTCTCACGGTATACTCTCCACAATACTCAATGAACAATGGGTTATTCTCCTACCTTTACCCTTTACCACCTTCATCATCACCGTCATCTAGTACGGTATTATATAGTGTGCGGGCACAATGTAGTGATAGTAAAATAATATTTCTTACCAATACATGCATTGTCTTCAATGATGAATCCTGACAGACAGACACATTCGTAGCCGCCATAAGTATTATTACATTTTAAACCAGATGGACATTCGAAGGTCTGTTTGGCACATTCATCATCGTCTGCAACAAAGACCACGACTAATTAACCTTTTTAAGTGTCAAAACTACGAACTGGTCTATTAATATATCAGGATAAATGATTCAAATAAAAGTCAATGAACATGACAGATTGTGGACGAGTTGCTTTATAACCATTACGTACTGACGTATGTGCCATTGTCAAATGAATATCCCTCTAATTGGCATTGACAGGTACAACTGCCAGTTATATTGATACAGTCCGCGTGTGATGGACATGGGCTTCATAAACAGTCATTCTCATCTCTCAGAAAAATTTTTAAAAATTCTTAAAATACTTAATAATCTTGATCATGATGCATTCATCATAATCTGCAACAAAAGACCACGGCTAATTAACCGTTCTAAAGTGTCAAAACTGACCAATCAGATCAGGGCCAAGAGGACGTGCATCTCCTACAAACATACATACATTATGTTTACGGTGTTGTTTTGTTGTACCTTATAGTAACAATATCCAAGCGATAGTGCTTAGTGGAAGGTCCATTCCTTAGAGTGTCCTTATCTATTTCTATTATTACATAAACTTTTTATTAAAAAATAATGAATTTACCATTATGAGAGATTTATAATACTATAAGTAAGGGACACAATGCATGATTAATTGCAATAATTGTTGGTAAACAATTAAAATGTTCTCACTCAAATTCTTCCAGCTTAGCTCAGTCGGCTAAACTGTACTGGAGCCACTGTGTGTGTAAGCTGAACCTCAGAGATAACCTTGGTCGCCGGTTCAATTCCCTTCGCTGCTTCAGTCGACCTTCCCATTTACGTACACCTTGGGCTGAAAGCTGTTCGTAACAGGGTTGCCTGATAGTCGACAGGCTTCACGGCCAAACACACATCATCTCACGGCCAAATTCGGCCAAACTTTTTTCAATATCGGCCAAAATTCGGCCAGATTTTAATCCGGTTAGAAGGCAGTTATGTGGGTACATATTCATTTAAATACTGCAAAAATTACAGGAAAATCAGGGGCCGTTCATTTGAAATTTAAGAAATTCAAATAATATACACAGGACAATGTTAAACTTCTTTTAATTAATCTATCACCATAAAATACATGCCCAGCTACATCATAATATTAAATAGCCTAGGCCCTATGTTCTTTAGTTGCGGACGCCCGAAAATATTAACCTTATGCGTTTGGGCGATCAATTTTTCTTTTTTTTCTTTTTTTTTCACCACATCCCCACCCCTCCCCCCACTAAATCCGCCTCTGCTATTTAAAATCACATCATTAAGATTGATCTAAATTGGTTTAAATGTATTACATATTATTAGTATTCAGTACATTTTTACGACAGGTTGGGAAAAATTACACATATAGGCCCTAATTGATTCTCCTGGCGCAAATCCAGGTATTGTTTATTCCATTACGATAATAACAATTACGGTACCATTCAATAATAGAACAATCATGGACCTAATTGCAGTGAAGTGAATCTAAAATGTATAATAGTTGAAGTTGAACCAACTTTAAAATACCACAAATACAAATGTGCGTGACGATAATTTATTGCTTTAGAAATAGGATTTCAAAAAGTACATACATTTTCACGACAGGTTAGGCAAAATACATATAGGCCCTAATTGATTCTCCTGACGAAAATCCAGGTATTGTCTATTCCATCACGATGATAACAATTACCATTCAATAATAGAAAAGTCATCGACCTACTTGCAGTGAATTGAATCTAAAATGTATTCATGAAGTTATGATGATATGAAGTGTTTTAAAACATAAACAATAATAATTGCAGTGAAGTGAATCTAAAATGTATAATAGTTGAAGTTGAACCAACTTTAAAATACCACAAACACAAATGTGCGTGCCGATATTGTATTGCTTTAGAAATGTGATTTCAAAAAGTATATTAGTTCATCGTATACGTAAGGGCTTGTATTGTTGTTGTTTTTTTTTACTTGCAGCGTTTGGGAAATAGGTAATAGGTAAATTATAATGAATATAATAAATAACTATAGCCTCCAGAAAACCTAATATTATTGAAGGGTCATTTTAAAGTTTGAATAGGATTTTTTTAAAGTTAAATTTTTAGATCGTTTTACCTATTGAACGAGCCCTCAATAGCCCCGGGCCCTGACCTGAGTAGATTAGTGGTTACATAACGTTTGCTATGCACTGTATCATATAGAAGTGGAAGACCATAATATTGGGAATATACCTCTCTCTCTGGTACAATCAGTTTAAAAGTGTAAGGTATAGGATAGTGTGGATTTTTAAACATTTTTCTAATGGTAATGTTCAAAATAAGTGTCAAGGAAAGTAAGTATGATTGTTGGAAAAAATGGTCAACATTCTCACCCTGACCTTCGCTTGGACGAAGTGGGCGAAGGTCTGGATCCGCGTCTAGTTAGCATGAATTTTGTAAGCCAGGACCAATAGTATTTTGTTACGTTTCTTCACAGAGAAGGGACGAACCCCCCCACCATGAACCCACCTGGATCCGCCACTGTGATTAGAATCAAATATAGAATTTAAGCTAACAAAAACAACACATCCAAAACAAGTCTAAGCCTGTATTGAAAAAAAAAATGTAAATTCAAAAATTCGGCCAAATATAGTTTGGCCGTGACTTTCCAAACGTTACGGCCAGGCAAATTTTTATACGGCCAGATTTGAATCTGGCCGTCAAAAAGGCCAAATGGCAACCCTGGTTCCTAATTGAGAAAATTCGTAAATGAGAAGTTCGTAAGAATAGCGCCCTCAAGTTTAAAAACGCTATTATAATATCTCTATGGTTGTAGGTTGTAGATAATAACTAGGCCTGCCCAAAGAGTATAAATAGAAGAAGAGAGCAAAGTCCCGTTCGTAAAAACGTCACGCCTGTGTAGGACGCCCACTAACGGTTGTATGTTCTTTTTATTGCCCAGTGCAGCGCTCTGCGCAGCGCCAGAGCCATATATATAAAGAGTTGCGACATTCCGCTCCTTGGTTTACGAAAGTCACGTGGTACACACCGTCCATTTTGTTTCATAATCTTCCCGATGAACACATGCAAAGTATATGTGTTA